AGCCCCCACACAGTTATAGTGGTAGATTTCAACACACCACTCTCACCACTAGACAGGAATACCAGACAGAAACTCAACAAAGAAGCAAAGGGTCTAATAGAAGTAATGACCCAACTGGGATTAACAGATATCTATAGAACATTTCATCCACATAAAAAAGAATATACCTTCTTCTCAGCACCACATGGAACCTTCTCAAAAATCGACCACATACTTGGCAACATATCAAACCTCAGCAGCTACAAAAAAATTGGAATAACTCCATTCATCTTATCAGACCACCATGCTTTAAAATTAGAATTCAACAACAACACAAATTGCAGAAAACCTACAAACTCATGGAAATTGAATAATGCTCAACTGCACCATCCCTGGGTCAAAGAGGAAATAAAAAAAGAAATTAAAGACTTCCTCGAATTCAATGAGAATGAAGACACAACATACCCAAACCTATGGGACACTTTGAAAGCAGTGCTACGGGGGAAGTTCATAGCACTAAGTGCCCACATGAAGAAACTGGAGAACAGTTACACTAGAGAATTAACAGCACAGCTGAAAGCTCTAGAACACAAAGAAGCAAACTCCCCCAGGAGGAGTAGACGCCAGGAAATAATCAAATTGAGGGCTGAAATCAATAAAGTAGAAACTAGGAAAACAATACAAAGAATCAATGTTGGTTCCTTGAGAAAATCAAGATAGACAAACCTTTGTCCAAACTTACCAAACAGCAGAGAATGAACATGTAAATTAACAAAATCAGAAATGAAAGGGGGACATAACAACAGACTCTGAGGAAATCCAGAGAGTCATTAAGTCATACTTTGAAAACCTGTACTCCACAAAATTCGAAAATTTAAAGGAAATGGACGACTTCCTAGATAGCTATCACTTGCCAAAACTAAATCAAGAACAGATAAGCAATTTAAATAGACCTATAACCCCTATGGAAATAGAAGCTGTCATCAAAAGTCTCCCAACCAAAAAAAGTCCAGGTCCAGATGGCCTCAGTGCAGAATTCTACCAGAAATTCAAAGAACAACTTATACCAATTCTTCTCAAAGTGTTCCACAAAATAGAAGCAGAAGGGTCTTTGCCAAACTCTTTCTATGAGGCTTCAATAACCTTGATCCCCAAGCCACACAAAGATACAACTAAGAAAGAGAATTTCAGACCAATATCCCTCATGAACATTGATGCAAAAATACTCAATAAAATACTGGCAAATCAGATCCAAGAACACATCAAAACAATCATTCATCACGATCAAGTAGGTTTCATCCCAGGGATGCAAAATTGGTTCAACATACGAAAATCCATCAACGTAATCCACCATATAAACAAGCTGAAAAACAAAAATCACATGATCATCTCACTAGATGCTGAAAAAGCCTTTGACAAAATCCTACATCCTTTCATGATAAAGGTCTTGGAGAGATCTGGGATAACAGGGACATACTTAAACATAATAAAAGCTATATACAGTAAACCAACAACCAACATCAAACTAAATGGACAGAAACTCAATGCAATTCCTCTAAAACAAGGCTGTCCACTCTCTGCATACCTTTTCAACATGGTATTTGAAGTTCTAGCTATTGCCATACGACAACAAAGGGGGATCAAGAGGATACCAATTGGGAAGGAAGAGGTCAAACTTTCACTGTTTGCAGATGATATGATAGTTTACATCAATGACCCAAAGAACTCTACCAGGGAACTCTTACAGCTGATTAACACCTTCAGCAAAGTGGCAGGCTACAAGATCAACTCAAGAAAATCAGTAGCACTACTATATACAGATGACAAAAAGGCTGAAAAAGAAATCAGAGAAACATCACCCTTTACAATTGCCACAAACAACATAAAATACCTTGGGGGTAATGCTAACCAAACAAGAGAAAGACCTGTATCACAAGAACTTTGAATCTTTAAAGAAAGAAATTAAAGAAGCCCTCAGAAAATGGAAAGATCTCCCATGCTCTTGGATAGGTAGGATCAATGTAGTAAAAATGGCAATCCTGCCAAAAGTAATCTACAGATTCAATGCAACCCCATTAAAATCCCAGCACAATTCTTCACAGACCTTGAAAGAACAATAATCAATTTTGTATGGAAAAACAAAAGACCCAGGATAGCCAAAACAACCCTGTTGAACAAGGCAACATCCGGAGGCATCACCATCGCTGACCTCAAGCTCTATTATAGAGCTATAGTCCTGAAAACAGCTTGGTATTGGCACAAAAATAGACAGGTAGACCAATGGAATCGAATTGAAAACCCGGATATTAACCCACACACGTACATACATCTGATCTTTGACAAAGAAGCTAAAAATATACAATGGAATAAAGAAAGCATCTTCAACAAATGGTGCTGGCATAACTGGAGGCTGGCATGTAGAAGAATGCAGATCGATCCATGTTTATCGCCATGCACAAAACTTAAGTCCAAATGGATCAAAGACCTCAACATAAATCCAGCCACACTGAACCTCTTAGAAGAGAAAGTGGGTGGTACCCTTGAACGAATTGGTACAGGAGACAGCTTCCTGAACATAACACCACTAGCACAAACAGTGAGATCAACATTTAATAAATGGGACCTCCTGAAACTTAGAAGCTTCTGTAAGGCAAAGGACACAGTCAGCAAGACAAAAAGGCAGCCCACAGAATGGGAAAAAATATTTACTAATCCCACATTTGACAGAGGGTTGATCTCCAAAATTTACAAAGAACTCAAGAAGCAAGTCTCCAAAACATCAAAGGACCCAATTAAAATGTGGGCTGCAGAACTAAATAGAGAGTTTTCAATAGAGGAGTCTAAAATGGCTGAGAGGCACTTGAGAAAGTGCTCAACATCCTTAGCCATCCGGGAAATGCAAATCAAAACAACTCTGAGATACCATCTGACTCCTGTCAGAATGGCTAAAATCAAAAACACCAAGGACAATTTATGCTGGAGAGGATGTGGTGAAAGGGGGACACTCCTCCATTGCTGGTGGGAGTGCCAACTGGTTCAGCCACTTTGGAAATCAGTATGGAGATTCCTCAGAAAAATGGGAATAAACCTACCACAAGACCCAGCAACTCCACTCTTAGGCATATATCCAAAAGATGCCCATTATTACAACAAGGATGTCTGTTCCACTATGTTCATAGCAGCATTATTTGTAATAGCCAGAACTTGGCAGCAACCTAGATGTCCCTCAACTGAAGAGTGGATAGAGAAAATGTGGTACATTTACACAATGGAGTACTATTCAGCAGAAAAAAACAATGGAATCCTGAGATTCGCAGGCAAATGGATGACACTAGAAGAAACCATCCTGAGTGAGGTAACCCAGTCACAAAAAGAGAAACATGGCATGTACTCTCTCATATATGGATTTTAGACATAGATCTGGGGAGTGCCAGCCTACAATCCCATGGCCAGAGAGTCTGAGAAACAGAAACTTCATTCAGTGGTTGATCAAAGAAGAGGCAGACTCCCTAGGTTAAGTACTGAGCTGAACTCAAGAAAGCCAGTAACAGAGAGGGAGGACTGATGACCAAAGGGATTAAGACTGGGCTGGTTTAACCCCCAGAAACAGCTGACCTGACAAAGGTTAACTCTTGAATCCCAGGCATCAGCCTGGGAATCCAGCATGGGATTGATCAAGACCCCCTGAATGTGAGTGTCAGTGAGGAGGCCTAGGTAATCTATTGAGCCTTGGGCAGCAGATCAGTACCCATCCCGAGTATACACACGGACTTTGGACTCCCATCCAACAATGTGAGGTGCACTCTCACCCTGAACTCTTGGGGAAGGGTCTAGGCCCTGCCCTATATGAAATGACAGACTATGGACCCCCCCATGGAAGGCCTCACCCTCCCTGGGGAAATGAGGGGATAATGGGGTGGGGGTTGGGGGAAGGGCATGGGAGGAGGGGAGGGAAAGGGAGAGGGACCTGGAACTGACTTGTGAAGCAACCTTGCTTCTTATCTAAATTTAAACTGAAAAATAAATAAATAAATAAAAGAATGTATTCAAAAAAGAAGTTAATAGTGACGTTGAAGAGAAAGCTGGTTAAAAAAGCAAGACATTCTTTTGCAGAAAATTATGTCTTAAAACAAAATGTATAGTGCTAAGTTGAACAAATGAAAAACTATTAACTAAATGTTTAACGTTATAAATGGTTTTCAAAGTGTTGCAGTTTTTTTGTTTTTTGTTTTTGTTTTTGTTTTTGTTTTGGTACCAAAATTCTTTTTTTTTCAATTTTTTTTTATTTTAAATAGCTTGTTTTACATGTCAATCCCAGTTCCCTCTCCCTCCCCTCCTCAGGCACTACTCTTCCCCCCCACCCTCCCACCCTATTGCCAAATCCTTCCCCATAGGGGATATCTAGAGTCTGTCATTTTACTCTGGGTAGGGTCCAGGCACTCCCCTAAGAGTCCAGGCTGAGAGAGCATCCCTCTTTGTGCTATAGGCACACGAAGACTGTTTGTATACCAGGGATAGACACTGATCCACAGCTCAGGGCCCCATAGGTTGCCCAGGCCTTCTCGCTGACACTCACATTTGGGGGGTCCAGATCAGTCCCATACTGGCCTCCTCACTGTCAGTCTGGGATCCAAGAGCTCTCCCCTGTTCAGATCAGCTGTCTCTGCTGGTTTTGCCAGCCCATTCTTTGCCAATTTGCTCATCACTCCTCTCTCTCTGTCACTGGGTTCCTTGGGTTCAGTTCAGTGATTAATTGTGTGTTTGCCTCTGCTTCCATCAGTCACAGGATGAAGGCTCCCGGATGGTTATAGACATCAAGTTCATTATCAGGAATGGGCATTAGAGGTGGTCTCTCCACCATTGCTTAGCTTGCCAATTGGTGTTATCCCTTTAGATCACTCGAGGTCACTCTGGTGCCTGATCTGTCTTCGATCCTATGATTCCCTCTTCCCCCTATTCTACCCCCACCCCCTCAACTTCCTTTTCCCCCATGACCAACTCTCTTCCTTTTCACCCCCAAAGGTACCAAAATTCTTTATTTGAAGAAATGGTACAAATTAAAGAACTTAAGCAGATGTTTTGGTGGACTTCTTGAAAAGGTAAGGGCAGCCCGACATGCGTGCACTGCCTGAGTGACCAGTGACGTCACTGGTGGCTTTGGGGAGGACATCTTAGCTCTCACTGTGTCCCAGGGTGTGCTTGTCAAAGAGATAGTCTGCCATGCCAGTTTCAGGGGCCCCCATCTTGCGTAAGTTGGTCACGTGGTCACCCAGTTCTCTGATGGATTTCACCTGCTCATTCAGGTAATGGGTCTCAATGAAGTCACACAACTGAGGATCATTCTTGTCAGTGGCCAGTTTGTGCAGTTCCAGTAGTGTCTGATCCGCACTCTTTTCCAAATGCAGTGCACACTCCATTGCGTTCAGCCGGCTCTCCCAGTCATCACGGTCTGGTTTCTTGGTACCCTGCATGAAGATCCGGCAGCCTCGTTGGCTCTGCAGCTTCATCAGTTTCTCCGCATGCTCCCTCTCCTCATGGGAATGATGGAAAAAGTATTTGGCAAAGTTCCTCGGGGTCATGTCATCCCGGTCGAAGTAGCAAGACAGATAGGAGGCGTACAGTTCCAGGTTGATCTGGGGGTTGATGGCAGCCTTCGAGTCTTGGTGGTAGTTTTGGCGCACTTGCGAGGGGGACCCGGGGTGGTCCTGGCAGCGGCAGGCGCGGTGGCGACTCTGGAGCGGTGGAGCAATGAGGTTGCAAAGGGTTCTGTGCCAGAGTGGCCGGCTGGGGTCGGAGGGGTCGAGCGCCAGGTTCTGTTCAAGCACTGTTGAAGCAGGAAACCGTGGCAACTCTGGTTGAGAACTCCCAGTATTGCATTTTTTTTTGTTTTCCCTTTTTATTTTTAAAACAATCTTACTTTACATGTCAACCCCATTTCCCTCTTCCTCCTTCCATCCTTCCTCTCCGCCCACTCTCTCCCTACCCCACCCTCCTTCCACTCCTCAGAGAGGGTGAGGCCTCCCATGGGAGATCACCAAAGTCTGCCACATCCCTTGAGGCAGGACCAAGACCCCCCCCCTTATCTAGACTGAGCAAGTTATCCCTCCATAGGGAATGGTCTCCAAAAAGCCAATTCATACACTATGGATAAATACTTGTTCTGCTGTGTTCTGCTGCCAGCAGCCCCACAAACTGCCCAAGTCTCCCAACTGTCATCTGCATTTAGAGGGCCTACTTGGACTTTATGCAGATTCCCCAGTCTGGAGTCAGTGAGCTCACACTAGCTCGGGTCAGCTGTTTTTGTGGGTTTCACCATCACGATCTTGACCGCTTGCTCATATTATCGCTCGTCGTTCTCTACGACAGGACTCCAGGAGTTCTGCCCATTGCTTAGCTATGAATCTCTACATCTGCTTCCATCCATTACTGGGTAAGGGGTTGGAGAGATGACTCAGCAGTTAAGAGCACTGACTATTCTACCAGAGGTCCTGAGTTCAATTCCCAGCAGTCACATGGTGGCTCACAACCATCTGTAATGGGATCTGGTGCCTTCTTGTGACCTGCTGGCATACATGCAGACAGGACACTGTATACATAAAAAGTAAATAAATCTTTTAAAAAGGAATACAGCATTTTTAAAAAAGATCTGTAAAGAGAGTCCTACTACACCCCCATGGAGGGCCTCACCCTCCCTGGGGGAATGAGGGGATAACGGGGAGGGGGGTTTGGGGGGAGGGCACGGGAGGAGGGGAGGGAATGGGAGAGGGACCTGGAACTGACTTGTGAAGCAACCTTGTTTCTTATCTAAATTTAAACTGGAAAATAAAAATAAAAAAAGAGAGTCCTACTAACAAAAGAATGGAGTTGAAAATATTGGCTGTAAGGGGTCTATGAAAATAATTTTTCATTTATTTAAAAGAAAATTAAAGGTAAATGCAGGGGAATATAATGTCTCTATAAAGCTGTAAGAAAAATAGAAAGCAGAATTTTCTATCAGATTAGTCACTGTGAAAAATGTTATACTGGAGACAGAGACTAAGCGGGATAGTCAAGAATGCTTTCCTACGGTGATATCTGGATTGAGATCTGCAGATTGAAAAGGAAGCAGCATTGTGATGATTAGACTGAGGAAGAAAATTCCCAGTGTGCTAAAATGTCTGAGAAGTATCCAGAAGTCCTGTGTGGTTTCAAATGTGGGAGGGCAGAAGCACATTGCATTAGGGAAGCAGTTTTTAATAAATGCTTTGAATGATGGGCATAGAGACACATATACTAAACGCCTATTTGGTAAGAGAGCTGGCAGAATTTCCTGATGCATCTGACACGAAGTTAAAAGAAAGAAGAGACTCAGACAGTGGAAAATGGCTAAATTGTGAGGGCATCTATGAAAATGAAGGAGAGGGAGGAAAGAAGTTAAGGTTGTGGGTAATCAGGTGCCCTTCATTCACTATATTAAATTTCTCATACCTTTCAAAGACCTCAGATACAGTGTCAGGTATTCTGGAAACTCTAAGTTAATTTTTATCTCAACATTTACGAAGCTCTCACAGACATGTAACAGGATTATAAATATTAGAATTCATGTATATGCTTATATATACGCAGAAAATGTAATATCCTTGTTTTATATAAAACGACTCTAGCTTTCAGCTTGAATCTCCTAAATATGAATAGGAGAAAAGCAAAAACTAAAGTCAGATCTGGTGACACCAGCCAGTAACCCTCAGGAGGCAAAGGCAGGAAGATCAGAATTGAAGGTCATCTTGGACTATATGAGAAATCAGGGAAAAGCAACTAAATTCCTATTCTGATTAAATTTATTCTAATGTAGCATTTGACAAATATAGTGTTCATTTCTATATAATTAAAATGTTCAGTCTCTCCTCTTTTCTTTTGTACCCTATCCCCTTTTTTTGAAACACTTTTTTATTATATATTTAAATTAGAAATAAGCTTGCTTCCCATGTCAGTCCCAGATCCCTCTCCCTCCCCTCCACTCCCACTTCTCCCCAAAAGCCCCCCCAGCCTCCCATCCAATCCCCATTCCATTCCCCAGGGAGGGTAAGGTCCTCCATGGGGGATCTCTAGAGTCTGTCATTTCGTTCCAGGAAGGGCCCACTTTTTAATTGGATCCTTTGGCACTTTAGAAACTTGTTTCTTGAGTTCCTTGTAGATTTTGGAGATCAGCCCTCTGTCACATGTGGGGTTGGTGAATATCTTTTCCCATTATGTGAACTGCCTTTTTGTCTTGCTGACTGTGTCCTTTGCCTTATAGAAGCTTCTCAGTTTCAGGAGGTCCCATGTATTAATTGTCAATCTCAGTGTCTGTGCTACTGGTACTACGTTCAGGAAGCAGTCTCCTGTATGGAGTCATTCAAGGGTACCCCCATTTTGTCTTCTAAGAGGTTCAGTGTGGCTGGATTTATGTTGAGGTCTTTAATGCATTTGGATTTCAGTTTTGTGCCTGGCGATGGACATGGATCTATCTGCTGTCTTCTACATGCCAGCCTCCAGCTATGCCAGCAGCATTTGTTGAAGATGCCTTCTTTTTTCCATTGTATAATTTTAGCTTCTTTGTCAAAAACCAAGTATTCATACATGTGGGTTAATATCAGGGTTTTCAATTCGATTCTACTGGTCTACCTGTCTACTTTTGTGCCAATGCCAAGCTGTTTTCAGGACTATAGCTCTATAATAGAGCTTGAAGTCAGGGATGGTGATGCCTCCGGACGTTGCCTTGTTGAACAGGGTTGTATTGGCTAGCCTGGGACTTTTGTTTTTCCATATAAAGTTGAGAATTGTTCTTTCAAGTTCTGTGAAGAATTGTGCTTGGATTTCAATGGGGATTGCATTCAATCTTTTGACTACTTTTGGCAAGATTGCCATTTTTACTACATTGATCCTACCTATCCAAGACCATGGGAGATGTTTCCATTTTCTGAGGGCTTCTTTAATTTATTTCTTTAAAGACTCAAAGTTCTTGCAACACAGGTCTTTCACTTGTTTGGTTAGCATTACCCCAAAGTATTTTATGTTGTTTGTGGCAATTGTAAAGGGTGATGTTTCTCTGATTTCTTTCTCTGCCCTTTTATCATCAGTATATAGGAGGACTACTGATTTTCTTCAGTTAATCTTGTATCTTGCCACTTTGCTGAAGGTATTTATCAGCTGTAGGAGTTTGCTAATAGAGTTTTTTGGATCACTTATGTAAAGTATCATATCATCTGCAAATAGTGAAAGTTTGACTTCTTCCCTTCCAATTTGTATCCCCTTTATCTCCTTTCGTTGTCTTATTGCTCTGGATAGAACCAAATACAATACTGAAGAGATATGGAGAGAGTGGACAGCCTTGTCTTGTACCTGATTTTAGAGGCATTGCATTGAGTTTCTCTCCATTTAGTTTTATGTTGTCTGTTGGCTTGTTGTATATAGCTTTTGTTATGTCTAGGTATGTTCCTGTTATCCCTGATCTCTCCAAGACCTTTATGCCACTCATGAAGGGGTGTTAGATTTTTGTCAAAGGCTTTTTCAGCATCTAGTGAGATGACCATGTGATTGTTGTTTCTCAACTTGTTTATATTGTGGATTACTTCAATGAATTTTCTTATGTTGAATCATCCATGCATCCCTGGGATGAAACCTACTTGATCAGGGTGGATGATTTTTCTGATGTGTTCTTGGATCTGATTTGCCAGTATTTTACTGAGTATTACTACATCAATGGTCATGAGTGAAATTGATCTGAAGTTCTCTTTCTTAGTTGTGTCTTTGTGAGGCTTGGGTATCATTGTTATTGAAGCCTCATAAAAAAGAGTTTGGCAAAGGCCCTTCTGCTTCTATTGCATGGAATACTTTAAGGAGAATTGCCATAAGCTAATCTTTGAATTTCTTGTAGAATTCTGCACTGAAGCCATCTGGACCTGGGCTTTTTTTGGTTGGGATAATTTTGATGACTGCTTCTATTTCCATAGGGGCTATAGGTCTATTTAAATTGCTTATCTGTTCTTGATTTAATTTTGTCAGGTGATATCTATCCAGAAAAATGTCAATTTCCTTTAAATTTTTGAATTTTGTGGAGTACTAGTTTTCAAAGTATGACCTGATGATTCTCTGGATTTCCTCAGTGTCCATTGTTATGTCCCCCTTTTCATTTCTGATTTTGTTAATTTGCATGTTCACATTCTACCGTTTGGTGAGTTTGGATAAAGGTTTGTCTATCTTGTTGATTTTCTCAAAGAACCAACTCTTCGTTACATTGATTCTTTGTATTGTTTTCCTAGTTTCTACTTTATTGAGTTCAGTCCTCAACTTGATTATTTCCTGGCATCTATTCCTCTAGGGTGAGTTTGCTTCTTTTTGTTCTAGGGCTTTCAGCTGTGCTGTTAATTCTCTAGTGTAACTATTCTCCAGTTTCTTCAGGTGAGCACTTAGTGCTATGAACTTTCCTCTTAGTACTGCTTTCAAAGTGTCCCATAAGTTTGAGTCTTCATTCTCATTGAATTCTAGGAAGTCTTTAATTGCTTTTTTTATCTCTTCTTTGACCCAGGAGTGGTGCAATTGCACATTATTCAATTTCCATGAGTTTATAGGGTTTCTGCAATTTGTGTTGTTTTTGAATTCTAACTTTAAAGCATGGTGGTGTGATAAGATACATGGAATTATTCCAATTATTTGTACCTGTTAAGGTTTGCTATGTTGCCAAGTATGTGATCAATTTTTGAGAAGGTTCCATGTGGCACTGAGAAGAAGGTATATTCCTTTTTTATTTGGATGGAATGCGCTATAGAAGTCTGTCAAATCCAATTGGGTCATAACTTCTATTAGTTCCTTTGTTTCTTTGTTACGTTTCTTTCTGGTAGTCCTGTCTACTGGTAAGAGTGTGGTGTTGAAATCTCCCACTATACGTGTGTGAGGTTTTATTTGTGGTTTGAGTTTTATTAATGTTTCTTTTACGAATGTGGATGTCTGTGTGTTTGGGGCATAGATGTTCAGAATCTAGACTTCTTCTTGGTGGATTTCTCCTGTATTGAATATGAAATGACCTCCTTCATCTCTTTGATTGATTTCAGTTTAAAGTCTAGTTTGTTAGATGTTGGCATTACTACCCCTGCTTGTTTCTTGGGCCCATTTGATTGGAAAATCTTTTCCCAATCCTTAACTCTGAGGTAACATCTGTCTTCAAAGCTGAGGTGTGTTTCTTGTATGCACCAGAAGGATGGATT